TTCAATTTGATTGAACCACAGGTAGTCCAAAGGGGAAACCAACAATTAAAAATATAAGCGGGAGAAGTGTCTCTTGGGAGTTCACAGGCTATTGCTCCTCCGCGCCTACGATAATATCAAATTTGTGTTAAGAAAAATCAGCAAAACTATTTTTTTCAAGGAGGGGGGAGGGGAGGGGGGTGCTGTGTCTACTGTCAAGAACATGTCAAAAATCCAATGATATAGTAATAAATGGTAGGATCATTTTATCAAGCCTTGCATATTGGTGTTGAAAAGGAGAATTCGATAATAAAACTCTTTTTTTACCATTAACGGGAAAAGCTGCGTGAGGGTATCTAAAATTCAAGAGTAAAACGTGAACCAATACAGGAAACACAGCAAGAAAATGATGACACTTTTCTCTAAAAGTATGCCTTATGAAATCTCGATTAAATTACAACTGTCTGAGCGTACAGTAAGGTGAGCGAACTTAATGAACGGGTTCGAAACACCGCTAAACTTCTCTATAGCAACCGGGACAAGCTCCTCTATTAAGAGGCTGAAAAGTATCAAATGGTGCAAAACAAATGACCAAAGAAGAGAGGCTTGTTGGCTGACACCCGTCGAGCGTATAGAGTAGTTTCTTCTAGATTCTAATTGGTAACAGTTTAATCTAGACATGTTATTTACCCCTTACCAACCTTACAAACTTGATGACTGGTCTTTTTAATAACACGAAGTTAATGCCATCATGCAAGTTTAGTGAATTTCGTTTAAACTGAGTTACGAAAAAGTCCTAAAGACAATTTTTATTTAAGACCTAACAGCTGCGCGATACAAGTACTTAGCCAATGCAAATAAATTTACATTTTGTTATGGTAGTCATAAATTCTAAAAGATTGAAATCAAACGAAAGTATATCTCACAATAAAAAATATTATTTATCTATTCAGAAAGTATGTAATGAAACTTTCAGGAACCTCCTGAATACCCAAGCAAATCGAAATTGTGCAAAAACAAGAATCATCATATCATTTGCCTTGATAAATATTGATGGGGGAATGGCCGTTGCCATTGAAAGTATTTCAGACTGTTGGAGCCTTTTGGATCCAAACCAACCGCATGAACCCTTATGGCTCTCCCAATCAGTCATCTTCATCAAACCTATCAAGTATCCTGAAGCACGCCCCACTCAAATAGTATTTGAAGTCCAGCTATCTTATGTAATATCAAACTATGTCTCGTTTGGTGCAGAGGTGACCAGAGACACCAAAGAACCAGAATGGATTCTTGGCTTATAGTTATGAAGCAACGGACATCTTTACCAATGACAAGAGATATTCCACTTCGACTCAGACACATTGTTTAAGCACGACTTAAGATTGACAGAATCATTTTTCCAAAAATTCAAATAGTTGTCTGAATGAGCCTTTAAAACCAAGCCTTAACAACTGAGTTTCCAAAAACACCTTGCATTAAAATATTACCTCGTCTATATACTAGAAAAAAATGATATCCGTATCATCGCTTTCGTCCCTGTTGTGTCTCAACCGTCCCGAATGTTCCTGCACAGGACCCTTATGGTTTTTCTTATGCAGCGATGATAAAGAGTTACTTCTTATGCAGCGATGATAAAGAGTTACTTTTCGAAGACTTCCCCGAGAGTCCGACTTGCATTCACTTTTGACGCGCTAAATACCTGACCTCCCTTTTTTCGAGATACTGTCTGTGTTCGATAACTTGTTTTGTTAGTCTCTCAACAGTACGTTCCAGTTTGGCGGACGACTCCCTCTGTCTACTGATTTGTCGCTCGTGTTCCTTTTGCTGTCGCACCAATTTCTATTTGATCTCATGTCGTTCAGATCGCATTTTGTTGACTTCGACTCGTGATTCTTGCACCTCAACTTTTATACTGCAACGGAAAGGAAGGACCCATAACTCACAAAAATTAGACCATTGTGTAAAGAAACTTTGTACGGAAGATACAGAATAGATGTCGCTGAGTCCTGACAGTTTATTTATCTTTATGCAATAATACGATACTTAACTGGAAGTTCCAAAATCTGATAAATGTTCTCTTCGGGCCCTCAGTTTAAATGTTGTCATTAAATCATAGGTTTAGGTTTTAATGCTAACCAAATAGATTTGGGAGTATAGATCAAAACAGCAGAAGGGCGCAACCCCTTCAGCTCTGACAAAAAGTTTGCTCCAGTACATCCATACTTTGCTCCAGTATACAACATGAATGATTCGCCAAAAATCTTAGGCATAAAACATCGGTACTTAAGCCAAATTTTGGTGTAATTCTTCGGAAAAATTTTGGCATAACTCCATTGGCGTGGCCTGACTGTGCTAGTTGTTTATTCGAAAATTTGCTGACGTGGCAAAAACCATGCGAGATTTGCCATGGCGAACTTTGCAAAATAACAGGCCCGTAGACACTGGGGGCAGGGGGCAATGCAGGGGGCAAAATTGTGTGAAGATCTTATAAGCGCAGCTTGATCTGACAGTATTTCGTAAGGCAGGTAAAGAAAAAGTCATATTTCTATCCACGCCCCCAATCCAGTTCAGCAGTCTACGGGCCTGCATAAAAATGAATAAGTTTCAAATGTGTCAAATTGTAGACTAAACAAGAAAAAGAAACGAGATACAACTGGAAGACTTAAATGCATTCCAAGCTTTATGCTCATAGAAATGTAGACATGAATTGATAACTTAACATAGAAAAGAATGACTCGTCATTCTTGAAAGTTTCTTACTGAAAGCATAAATTTACTGTATTCAATAGACAAGACAGAGTTTTTTATAATTGCATTTAGAAATTTGTTCAAAGCTACGTGTGTCGGATATGCTGGGCTTATCGCTAAAAGTTGAGAATAAGACCTTGGCTTTTTGGTAATTGCAAACTATTAGGGGATGGGAAATTATTGTGAATGAAAGCTTACATGTATTGCTTAGGATCTTCCTTTCGACAAACTGGATGTGGCAAGTATTCTAGATGCATTTCTGGCTATCCCTATAATGTCATATTTCAAAATTTTTTCTTGAATTTGGCTAGAATTCCTAACCATGGTCATGGCCTTTATTACACCCCTGAACAATCTAAACATACCGCCCCTCCTCCCACTTTCATTAACGTTTCGTCAGCCCTGTCCAGGGACCGCGCACCAGTCTAAATGTGGGAGGGCTGAAAAGGGCGTACTCTTTAATATAGGAGAATACTATCAAATGTTTCCAAAATGTTTTCGAACCTATTATTGCAAAAAGGTGGAAGGGCTATAGCCCCTGCTAGCCCAATGGCAGCGCGGTGCCTGGCCCTGTCTATGCTACTGATGTCACCATCTTGGTTGCTCCGCAAACAATCAATTAACCTGGCTGCTCAACCAATGATTAGACAAAAACATCAACCCCTATTGTGTTTTGACTAGAAAATTACATATCAAGATTTTTTGAATAACTTAAAGATATTTTATTAAGTTCTACCTTGGGTACCAGAGCCTCAATGATCGAAAAAGGTGACCCCTTTAAATAAAATTCGTCATTTTTATCACTGAGTCCCCCCTTTGAAAGTCCAGCAGCTAGAAAGTAAAAATTCCCCCATCCCCCTGCAATGTCGTGGTTTTCTCTCACCTCTTATCCTACGTCAGAATTAAATTTATCATCACCTTCCCTTTTTCTCTCTTCTCACCCACCATTCAAAAACATATTTCATGAAAATGAGCGCACTACATAGATTTTATAAATAAAGAATCTAACAAGAAAAAACAGGTCTGCCTATCTTATCTCTAAATTAGCCTGGCAAGTATGAAATCCGAACTTTGATTTCGTGCAACTTTTTTGACACAAGCTATGTAAAAGTCGAAAACTCAGTGGCCCCCGGAGAAAATCCACATGTTTTTCTGGCCTGGCACTCAAAACAATTAAGAACCCCTGATGTAGAGGATTTGTGAGTACGGAGAAAACGGGATTTTACTGATCTCGCTTGCAAGGTACACTCGTAAACCACAGTGTAATCCGGGTCAAGACACTAGAAGCTTTAAGATCAATAGGCCTGTTTAAATAAACACGGCCGTACATGGGATACATGGATGTGCCATGCGATATATTGTAAATGCAGGGGCGGTCTGGGCCGGGTGGCAAAGTGGCGATCGTTGGAGACAAGAAATTTACGGGCCATTCCGCGTTGGAGAAAATTTTTGAACTTAATGTCAAATACTTAATGCCCTAGACTGATTATATTGCGATTAAAGTCCCAATACATGCGCTTCAAACCACCCAAACCCTGGTTTCCGTTATTTCAGCCATGTGTTCAATCTGACCTGTACCCTGGGTACCAGGGCCACAAAAATTCGAGCGCGTAAACAGAATGCCAAGCAGAGAAGAGAATGAGCGTACTCTTATCTTGTAAATCTGTATCAGGATTCAATAATGCCAAGAAGATTTGTTGACACAAAGATGAAGCAAAAGAGCAATAAGAGCCCTTTTTAAGATTTCAAGTTCATAGAATGTCAGAATTGCTGGCATTTGCAAATTGCTATCAGCAGATCCTGAAAACAGATGATCTCAAGGAACAAGCTCTTAGAGAAGAAACATATGGAGAGGAAAAATGTGACTTTCAAGGTGGGGATTCACAAAGAGAGAAAGGACCCCAAAGTCGACATCGACACCCTTTATCAAAAGGGTAAAAGCTTGCCAACTGTGCATACCCTGCGCATTCAAAACTTTGTACCGACGCTCATTTTTATTTTTTTTATATATTTATTTTTTTATCATATATAACAATTTTATAAGAATATGAGCATCAAAACTGGTCAAAGTTGAGATCAAATTAGGAACATACTAAGGCTGAGTTACTATTTAATGCATTTTGAACAACATTTTATCCCAAAACGAGGATTTTTAGCCATGTGTGGTTGCTTTTCGATGAATATTCAATCTTGTCGTTAAATGAAGGCTGTTTCACTCACTTTTTTGGCAAATAATGCCAAGAGCGAAAAAGCTAGCAATCGCACTGCTTACACCCTATTAATTTAAGAACAAATTAAGGACAATCCACCCACGGAATTTTTGCGAAAATTAAGAACAGTCAGCCTGAACCTAAATTTACTGGATTTTATAAAAAAATTAACGAATACAACATGCACCTAGCAGCATACCTCTACAACGCGTATAAATGCTTGATGACACTTAGCTGCACCCAAGTTTCCTTTGAAAAATTATTCAGCGCTACTGATAATTTCAAAAGAAGAGAAAACTTTCCACTTGATTACGAGCAAGTCATTGGCCAATTTGCTGATTCATTTGCAGTTCTTCGAAAAGAGTTGAAACTTTGAGAATTTGAATAAGTTTTGATCTTGATTCTTAACTCTACATGAGATTTTAAAGCCTGTTTACACGAGATGAAAAGGTATGGATCCAATTGGGTCCGAATTTACGAATTAAAGTCGATATACTGCTGCTGTTTAGCGTATTGCTTTATTATCAATTTTTATTGAATCAATCGTATTCTAAGCCACATTTTTAGTGGGTGTGGCTAGATGTTTCCCGCCACGCCCTAAACCGGGCCCTAGAGTTTTCTAGCCAACCTGCAATTTTGACGCCAGCTGCTTATATCTTGGCCAAAGTGCTGCATCTCTCTCAGCCCGTCTCTTAAGTCAGCGTCGTCTACGGTCTCTCTCGCACATCAAATTCTTGATACTTTGAGAAATCCATGGTATATGTGCATGCCTTGTCTTAGCGGTCCTTTTTTTAACGGCGCATGCACATCCAAGACAGCGAGAAAGAGATCGTAGAAATTGCTAGTCATCTTATTGGAGTCATCCGATTTACATGACATAGCCATCTCCCAGTCAATAATACGCAAGTCATTAAGGAAAGAGTCACGGTCATAATTTTTCAAACTGCGTGCCTCTGTCTTAAATATCACGTCATTGACATGAACTCTAGCGTTTAATTTTCTAGTACCGTATGTCATATAGTCTGTAATACCATATAGTCTGTCATATAGTTTCTAGTACCGTATGTCATATAGTCTGCAATACCGATAGGTCTGTAATACCGATTTTTACGACCGATACATTAGAGAGGTTGTTGGGTCTGTTTGAAGAAAGGTGATCTATAAACTAAAACGTTTTATTAGGCTTTTTATCTTTATTTTAGTTAAGTTGAGCTTCTGCTAAATGCCCAGAGCATCATAGGGCAAATGATAAATTATTACTGAATGTTTCATCTTTGACAAGATCAAATTACGAAATTTACAGCAATGCTGACATTTACAGGAGATGTTTTGTTTTTGGTTCTAGGAATTTCGATTTGTTTTAGGTTTTGATAAGAGTGTCTTTCCGATGTTTATACGAGAATTACAGTACATGAACTCTATATCGAAGTGACGAGGAAAATTCTCTTTTTGTGAACAAAGCAGGAATCTGGGATAGCCGCAAAAAGACATTTTCACAAATCCCAAAATCCCTTTGAAGATATTGGAAAACTGTTCAATAAATTGTACAATTATGAGGAGTTGGCAAAAAACCTGGTGGAAATTTGATACATCATTGATACAGTTTTTCTCAATTTAATGGTGAAGCTAAACTTAACTGTAAAATCTATGACGGCAAAACCATAACCACGGCGTACTTTTTATGCAAACGTTCTTTCGAGAAGTCAATTGATGGTTGTAATCAATTTTAGTTCTGTGCGAATATTAATAATTGCCTTTCGAAAGTTTTCAAGTTTTTTAAAAAATATAACTTGAAGCAAGGGCGTACCGGGATATTTCGAAGTGTCCTGGTGGGCCAAGGAGCGATGGGTGGAGAAAAACTGTGGATAATTATTCGCAGGTAGAAAGGCCAAAAATTTGGTGTATCCTACAGAGCAGTGAGAGATCGCTTCCAGAATATTTTCATCAACAAAAAGTCCAAAAATGGAAGAGAAAAAAGTGCAAGTGGAATTAACGCTGAGCACACAGAAAACATGTTCTCCTTGCAAGATAAGGGAGCTTTTTGATGCAGCAATTGTTGATCAGCAAGCATCATCCCAGCAAGTTAAAGAAAAACAGCAGAAATGGAAAAGCTGAAGAAATGAGAAGGAAATCAGTAGAAACAATGGGAGAAAGCAGGAAGAGAAAGGAAGGGGATGTAAAAAATGTAAGTGAACAGAGACGTAACGTTCGGCAGAAAACCTTTCAAAATTATTCAAGAAAGAATCAGAGTTGACAGTTGACTCAATCCGAGCTGACTCACAATAGCGTTTGGAAACCAAATTAAGACCCACTTTCCGTTTGGAATACAAATTGAAGAGAGTTTACCCTGGGTGAACCTAACACAGTTTGAACCCGGGTAGCTTTTGTAGTGTGAACCAGGGCTCGATTGGAAATAATTTCACTTGCTTTTATCATTAAGCGTCGGACAAATAGTTCAAGTGAATTTTTTTCCACTTTTCCGAGCTATTTTGAACATTATTTCTTCCTGGTACTCATATTGTAATTTTTTGAATGTATTATCAGTCATTTTATCAGTTCAATTTTGCGTAGATATGACATGATCAATGTATTCTAAACAACAGGTTACACCATTCAATCTTTTCCCCTCTTGTGTACAGTTAAATTTTTCGCTGTAAGTCAGCGCTGTGAGTTATTTTTCTTCGATCGCAGAAGCTGCCTAAAAAATTCACCATATCTTTGAAACGCGCTGAGATTTGTAAGAGTTATTAGTTTCTATAGACTAAACAATGAAGCAACGATTATCGTAGAGAAATCAGTTTTGTTGATTTTCTTGGTTACTTAGATAAAACATGAATCAAATCTATGAACGAAAATTTGCATAAAAAGAAGCATAAATAAAGGATATTCCTGGGACTTCGTAGTCTGGAGAAATCCCGAATTAGGCAGGCATAAGAAGGTACCTTTCAGAGTTGTTTTAATGTTCGCAAATTTTTGAAATGATATATTTCACAATATATAATTATCTGTAAAATGAAACACAGGGATGCAGGGGGCCTAAAAATCATTAAAATATAGGTGATATCATTTATGTATGACCCTGACATCAATGTCAAATGTCTTGTCTACACTAGGCATACTGGAAAAACCAGACCCTATGACCCTAGGACCCCTATGACCTACTACATGATTTGCGGCTCCCCCAGAGCCATGCCTTTTAACTCATGACGCACACAACAACCCTAACGGACTAATGACAAAAAAAATCGACGCCAGCATCGAAAATCACTTAGAGTAACTGACCAGACAAGAGAAGGAAAAACATTTCATCATAGTACTGTGCATGAGATAACGGAGTTTATCAGACCAGGGTTTAGGGGGCCTTTAGAAGGAGGGAGACTGAAATAAATGGACAATGTTGGCAGAGCAGGGTGCAGCTGCAGAGCACTAGAATTCATGGCAAAAAAGTAGTCAAGATATTAAAGGCGTTTACACAACCCCAAATCAAAAGTATTCTAATAAAAAGTTCCCCGAAGTTCCACACTTCTTTAACTTCCCCGCCCATTCAGCACACACTGCACTTCTTTAACTTCCCTGCCTATACAGCACACACTGCACGGGTTAATTGCCACGAGGTGAATTTCGCAGCCAAATCGCTGGTGAAGATATCGAGGGGGGGGGGGGCGCAGTTTTGATTTTTGACTTCGAAAAAAGTTCTAATTTCACCGCTGCGAGATATTTCGCAATAGGCGCCTAAAAATGTTTAGTTTCGGGGAAAATAACAATATAATTTTGCAGTCTGGTGGAAATCAAAAGTGACTTTTGAAACAAAGTCGTAGCGAATTCGGTGCGAAATTCACCTCCTGGCTCTGGGGGAGCGGCAAATCATGTAGTAGTTAAGGGCCCTGTTTGGTTCTTCGTAGTTAATGGTCCTAAGGGTCATAGGAGTCTTAGGGTCGAAGGGTCTGTTTTTTCCAGTATGCCGCCTACACTATACTGTCAAACCTTGTTTCAGTCTGGGTAAGGGGCAAAGTGAACCCATGCATTATTTTCTGTGATCTGAACACAAAGTTACCTAGGTCTGACTCGGCCCGGGCTGACTCGGCCCGGGCTGACTCGGCCCGGGCTGACTCGGCCCGGGCTGACTCGGCCCGGGCTGACTCGGCCCGGGCTGACTCGGCCC